TCACTTGGTAGCCCAGGATGGCCTCGAACTCACAGAGATCCGCCTGGCTCTGCCTCCCGAGTGCTGGGATTAAAGGCGTGCGCCACCACCGCCCGGCTCAAATAAACTCTTTTATCCTCAAGTTGGTGTTGTGGGATAACCCCTTTGTATGCTGTGAATATGTTTTATTGCTATTGGTTAATAAAGATGATACTTTTGCCTATAGCAAGGCAGGATAGAGTCAGGATAGAGAAGAGATACTGAAGAAAGGCGGAATCGGGTAGATGCCAGCCAGCTGCCAGATGGTAAAGCCACGAGACACATGGCAAAATACAGATTAACAGAAATGGGTTAATTTAAGTTGTAACATCTAGTTAGTAATAAGCCTGAGCAATAGGCCAAAGAGTCTGTAATTAATATTAAGCCTCTGGGTATGGTGGTATTTTATTTGTACTGAAATGTGATTTTAATTGTATGTTAATAAATAAAGTTGCCCGGGGGTCAGAGCTACTAGAGCCATAGCAAGAGCGCAGCGGTGGTGGCGCATGCCTTTAATACCAGCGCTTGGTAGAAGAGCTAGGTAGATCTCTGTGTGTTCAAGGATACAGCCAGCATTGGAGACATATGCCTTTAAGACCTGGAGGGCTGTACTTATAGGCAGTGATGAGGCAGTCATGTGTTTGGGTTTACAACCAATGAGAAGGCAGAACAGAAAGACTATGTAAAGACATACACATAGGAAGTAGGTCTCTTTTGGGGAGATAGGAGAACTGCAGGAAGGGTAAGGTTTTAGCTCTGAGCTCTGACCTCTCGGCTTTCTCTTTTACATTGGTTCTGTGTTTCTTATTTAATAAGATGGTTGGTTACATCTACATCTAGGTGGTTACTTTAAAAGCGGCTGCAGGACCGGGTGGGACAGAAAAGCCTCTGTCTACATAGGGTGCCCAAGGTGGGGCTCAAACCCATACCCTGGGATTAAGAGTCCCATGCTCGGGGTTGGGGATTTAGCTCAGTGATAGAGCACTTGCCTAGAAAGCGCAAGGCCCTGGGTTCGGTCCTCAGCTCCAGAAAAAGAAAAAAAAAAAAATGAGTCCCTTGCTCTACTGAGTGAGCTGGCTGGGCATGGATCCACATATGACCTAAAAAAGCTTTTTAAAAGGTTCTAAGCATGAAGAAATGGAGCTACACTGGGCTTCCCAGTCTCTCATGCTGGCCACAGTACAAAGACGCCTCTCCAGACAACTGCCTATGAGATGGAGTGGGCCACCAACCGCCACGAGCTAAGCTGCATGGCGGGGTCCCGAAACCTCTTACACAGGCTACTGTGAAGAAGTTTCTTTCAGTCGCTGTCTGTAAACTTGATAGCACCAGACATGTGGCAAAGCATAGATTACTAGAAAAGAGTTAAGTTGTAAGAGCTGGTTAGTAACAAGCCTGAGCAATAGGCCAAACAGTTTGTAATTAATATTAAGCCTCTGAGTGATTATTTTAAAAGCAGCTACGGAACTGAGCTGGACAGAAAAGCCTCTTGGTTTTGGTCAGCGTTTTTACCACAGCAATAGGAAACTAACTAGACCACCCTGAGTATATTTACTTGCCCTTGTAACCTGGTGGATGTTCTTCATTCTCCACCAGGTAATGTCTGACCCCCCTGGCCAGTCTTTAGTTATTTCATTTAGACAGAATTCTTTATGCACAATGTTTTCTTTCAGGAATTTTCTAATCCTTACCCTCACTGCCAACCCTGTTCTTAGTTCTAGACTTCCACTCACAGCTATAGTCAGGGTTAAACCCAAACTCTTTCTAACTACAGAATACCTTCCCAGGAATTCCTGAACATGCCTCAACATGCCTGCTCCACCTTGAAGACAGCCTTCCTTCACAAGCACTATCTGAATAGATTTTTTTTCATATGCACATCAAGAAGATCAATAAACCCCAGTAACCTAAGCAGAATTCTAAATGTCCTTCCTTTTCCACCTCTCAGCCTCTTCTCTTGTGCTTTTCCTATTCCTCAGCACTAGCCAGGTGTATAACATGTTTGATTTGGGATGTGGACAGCAGGGTGGAGGATGACAACCGTCTGGATAGCACTGTTTCCCTTTTTCATAAATCCTGATGGCTGGAATGGACATTATATTAGATTCTCCAGCTCTTCTCGGAATCTGTATACCACATAATTTCTGCCTAAGTGTCAACTACAGATGGCGAAACCAGAAGCAAACTGTCACTGCTCAGCAGCACACCAGTCACATACACAGCTATCAGAAACCCTTCTAGAATACCAACCACACTAACTTAATTTCCTTTTTTGAATTTAAAACAATAAAGGATATTGGTAAAGAATCATATACTCAGAGGGGAGAAAGAAGTTAAATTCAGATCCTTTGGAATAAAAATCCCAAAATACTTTTCTTTGAAAAACAAGAAAACAGGCCGGGCGTTGGTGGCGCACGCCTTTAATCCCAGCACTCGGGAGGCAGAGCCAGGCGGATCTCTGTGAGTTCGAGGCCAGCCTGGGCT